GAGCTGACTGTGGCCGACCGCCGCCAGAAACGGGAGATTCGGCAGCTGGAGCAGGAGCTGCACAAGTGGCAGGTGTTAGTTGACAGCATCACAGGTAAGAGTTGAGTGGGGGAGGCTGTCTGACTGTCCATCTATCCTTCCTTCCATCTGCCCTCCTCTCTGCTTCTCCCCTCAGGCATGAACTCTCCAGACTTTGACAGCCAGACACTGGCTGTGCTGCGGGGTCGCATGGTGCGGTATCTCATGCGCTCTCGAGAGGTGAGGGTGGGGCTGAGGCCCCCCAGCAGAGCTCTTCTCATCCCAGTGAGTTCCCCCAGCCTTCTTATGCTCCCCTTTTTTCAGATCACACTGGGCAGAGCCACAAAGGACAACCAGATTGATGTGGACCTGGCGCTGGAGGGACCAGCCTGGAAGATCTCTCGCAAGCAGGGTAGGGAGCAGGGCTGGGCTGTTTTGGGGGGCTCAAGGGCACAGCAGCTGTGCTCCCCTCCCCCATTTATTGCCCCCCTAAGGTGTCATCAAGCTGAAGAATAATGGGGACTTCTTCATCGCTAATGAGGGCCGGCGCCCCATCTACATTGATGGCCGTCCTGTGCTCGGTGGCAACAAGTGGAAGCTCAACAACAATTCTGTGGTGGAGGTGAGCGTGGGTGGGGTGGGTGAGGGGGTCTCAGGGCAATAGAGGGGGGTCCAGTCCTGCTCACCTCCCCCCTTTACCTGCAGATCGCCAGCCTCCGCTTCGTCTTCCTCATCAACCAGGACCTGATCACACTCATCAAGACGGAGGCAGCCAAGATGGCCCAGCAGTGAGGAGGTCCCAGCCTTACAGGGAGAGATGGGGGGAGGTCCTCCTGGCTCCCCTCAGCCGGAGGGGGATGGGCCTCACCCTCCCCTGGCTCTAAGCTTGTGGGCCTGCAAATAAAGTGTTTTACCCTCACAGCTGTGGCTCACATGAAGGTGGGGAGGGGGTGGGGAGGTAAACGGACACACAAGACCCTGAGCTGTGGGGGCAATATTTTGAAAGTCCTTTATTGATAAAGGCAGAGTTGCTGTACTCACATGTCCCATTGAAGCAGCAGCTGATGGTATCCAGGAATGTATTTTGCAGAGCCAAAAGAACCTCATTTGCTGCATCTCTCCCAACCCTCCTCCTGCCAGCCCCAAGGAGTCACCCCCTGCCCTCCTACCACCTCCCTTGGAGGGGCTGATCCCTTCCTCCACTGCACCCTAAAATGCTGGCTGGTGGAGGCAGTAAGGAACAGAGAGCATTAATTAATGGACAGTACTAACGAACACGAACATCGCCTTTTATTTGGACAATGCTAAGTAACGGCCATTGCCGCTTGGTAGCAGCTAGGATTAGCTCTGCTAATTGATATTGCTCTTTAATTTAGAGTGGGTCTGGACAAGAGAGGGAGGTGAATTAAACAAAGAGTTTTCCCCTCAACATAAACCAGAGTAGAGCACGCTGTGCAGGGTGCACAGGGCCCCGCTGGCACAACGCTGGGGGTTTAGCCCTCACAAACCCCTCCTGGCTCCTTCAAACTGCCCCCTACTCCCATTTTGCAGCACTTGTCCTCGTTGCCAGCACGAGGGCTGGGCTGTCCTGGGGTTGCTCCTTCAATGTGAGACCCCAGGGTCAGGGCAGAGTGGGGACAAAGAGGCTGGGGGCTGCGTCCGGGCCCCCTCTGCCTACAGTGACATCAGAGCCATGGAAATTTTCTAGAGGGGAAAGAAAAAGGCAACAGTGACAGCAGCAAAGGGGCCCTGAGCCCGGGTGGAGGTGCAGTAGATGTGAGAGAAGAACACAAAGCAGACATCAGAGAAAGAGAAGGAAAGAAAAAAAAAATAATAATAATGGCACAAGAACTGAGAAGTGTAAACTTTCCTTTGTTAATATCTCTAGCTAGGAGCTTCCTACAGTCTCGTCCCCTTAGGGTAGAAGTGGGGAAACCTCAGGAGCTGGCTCCCTCCTGGCGGCTGGCGCGGGGCTTGCGCTGCGGGAGCCCTTTGCTGTGCGTGGCAGCAGCTCCGGCCGCAGCTCCGGGCTCCGGGGGTTGCATCTGGTGGGGGCTGCCCGGGCTGCTCTGGTGCCGGCCAAGTGCCGGACCTGCTCCGCTGCGGTGCCGGGGGCCGCCGGACCGCCTGGCTGGGGGAGGAGCGGTGTGGGGTTGGGGGCGGGAGGCCGGTGGTCCCTGTGGTCCTGATCGCCTGTTCCCTGGGGCAGCCTGCAAGAGAAAGAGAGAGGAGAGGGACAGATCCCACGCTGAGGGCTGCAGCCGTCCATCGACACAGCACTGAGCTGATGCGTTTTGTGCAACGTGCTCCCCTGAGCTGGGGGAGTGAAAAAGCCTAAATGTGGTGTGAATCCAGAGGCTGTGCATCCTCAGACCTCTTCTGCTCCTCAGAGAACTTGGAAACCCAAAAGCTCACGTGAAACAGATGGCAGAGGCTGTGCACCTCACTGCTCCCCAGAGAGGTGGGAAAACAAAACCACCAAAACCTGATGTGAAGTGGAACTTGGGAAGGTGTGCCCTTGTACCACTCCCAAAGAATTTGGAAATCACAAATGCCAATATCTGATGTGAAGTAGAAGCTACAGACTATGTACCCAGTGCCTCTCACTACCCAGAGAGTTTGGAATACAGAAACCCCAACAGAAAAGTGAGGCAGAGCCTGGAGACAGAGCGCTCTCACGCTCACCCCACTCCTCAGAGAAACCAGAAAGCAAAAACTCTGAAGTCTCACATGATACAGAGCTCAGAAACTACACCAGACCCTGTGTCCCTTCTGCTTGTCAGAGCTGGGAAAACAAAACCCCACGGTGCCCTGTGATACAGAGCCTACAGCCCATGGTCATCACACCTCCCTGAAAGGTGGGAAAACAAACCCCCCAAAATCACCCAAGAAGCAAAGCAGGGCTGTGCCCCTGGGCACACGTACCTCTCGGTGGGGCTGGGGGGGATGGCTGCCTGCACCCTCCCCGGCCGCCTCCACAGAGGATGGGGGCTTCTTGCTCGCTGTAGTAAGGCTGATGGCAGAGGCACAGGCAGGGCTGGAGGGAGCAGAGATGTTGCTGGGACTGCTTGGGGACACGGCTGTGACGGAGCTGCAGCGGGAGCGAGTGGAGTAGCTGTTCTTTGGGTGGGAAACTGGAAAAAAAAGATCCCAAAATGTGCATTGTGTGTGTGGGGGGGTCCTGACTGCTCACCCTTTAACCTCTGTTGGGATCCTGGGGCAGAACTGCTGGAGCAGCTCACGGCTGGAGCTGAAGGCATGAAGGGATAGCAGAGCTTTTCCTGGTGAGATTTTTGCTTTGGTTTTGTGCAAAAGCTTGGGACCAGAGAAGGAAGGAGAACAGCCCCCATTGCCAAAGAACGGGTATCCCAAAGACCAATCCTCCCCACACTGCTCAGGAGAAACAAAGCACCCAGCACAGCCCCTTCCCAGCCTGCTGCTCTCCCATCTGGGGGGCAACACAGGGAGGTTTGGTGATGGCAAGGCCTCGGCTGCCTGACCCTCCCTGCTCACCTTGCCCAAAGGCAGCAATGCTCTTCTTCAATGCATCGATGTCACACGTAAACCGTGCCACTCTGCCCAGCTCCTCATCGTACTTGCGCTCACTTACAAAGTGCTGTGTGGAAAAGAGAACACATGCATGTTAATTCCAATCCCTGCACCCAATCAGAGCACAGGAATGGAGACAGAAGTCTCCAGTTTGAGGCTAATAACAGAGTTAGGTGGTGCTGGAAAAAAAGCCTTGGCTGAGAAGGCAGATGGCTGCAAGGACTTGAGGAATTAGGAAAAGGTTTCTGCATGACTTCCACCAGCTTCACTCGGATTGTTTCAGTCCCACAGCGGCTCCAGCACTGCTCAGGATGTGGACAGAAGCAGAATTCCTCAGCAGCACCAATCCTGCTCAGGGCTGGGAACTGCCCTGAACTGCAGCACCAGCAGCTGGATTCTCAAGCTGGAGCTTAATTGATCCTTTGCACAACTTTGTGCTGACCTCTTGCAGCAGGAGCCGGCGTGCCAGAGAGCAGAGGTGGTTTCTGGCATATAAAAGTGTTTCATGGAATATAAAAGCAGCTTCTGTGCAGCGGGATGGCTCTGTGAGCTGGGTGGAAAGGCAGAGGTCAGCCTGCACCATGGGAGGCTCTCAGCACTGTGCTGATGACAAAGCTGTGGCATTGCCACATTCCCAGCTCAGTACCAACGCAGAGTGGTCAAAGGTTGAAGTGCAGGCATCAAGGGGTTAATGTTTGGATGATCATCTGTTGGTATTTTGCAAACCAAGTATTCAAAGATTCAGGACGAATCCGTGCCCTTCTGCCCAGCTGCAGAGAGTAGCAGCAGTGAATTTGGAAAAGGCACCACACCAAAGCATGTTCTTCTGAAACCTGGATGGTTACAAAAACATGCAGAGTGTTTGGGTGAGATGAAACAGGAGTGAAAAGCTCACCTTTATGTCAGCTCGGAGCTCGACCAGTTGCTCCTCTGACATCCGCACAGCCACGTCAGTCATCTTCTTCAGGGCCTCTGCCTTCTTCTGCCGGCTCATCAGGATCTCCACTGTGAAACAGAGCACAGCTCTGAGGCTGGAGCAGCCCCAGCCTGGCCCCTCATTGGTAAGCAGCAGGTTCCCCATGTCACTACTGTGCCAGCTGCACAGCAGCCCCAGCGTCACCCTCCTGCAGCTGTGTATGTTTCCAGACTGAACCTGAGCTTGAAGCAGGCACGACATGCTGTTTTAGCTGCTGAGGTCTTCCCTGTGTCCCCTGAGCTGCAGGGTGGAGTGCTGCTGGTGCTGTGAGCACCCCTTCCACCTCCCCAGGGATGCCAAAATGTTCAGCAGTGCCTTCAGGAGAGCACAGCTCACGCAGGCACAGAACAAAGGCCTCAAACTGCAAAATCCAGTCACAGTATGCATGGTATACTGTTTTGTCTGTTCCCAAATACACAGTGCTCTACACAGAGTGAAAAGGAAATAAGGGAGAAAAATCTGCTTCCAATGGGGCTGTCTCTAGAGCACAGCACCATCTGCAGATCTACAGGCTGGGTGCTCAGGAGGGAGCCTTACTTGCTTCTGCCTTCACTTTGTCCATCTCAGCCAGCAACGCCACCTCGCGATCCATGAGGCTGGGGAAGAACACAGAGAAAGGATTTAACACCAGAGGGGACCACGGAATCCCACAGGAGAAGCACGGTGGGTTTCTTGGTACGCCAGCCACGAGCAGGGACCAACAGAGGGCAGCAGGAGCCTTGGTTCTGAGCTCTGCTGGCACCACAGCTTCAGTCAGCACCCTACTGCATTTCTAAAAACCTGCTGGGTGTGTGGTCACCGTGCTCTGATAAAGTCAGAGCTGCTCGGTGAGGGGAGAGGAGCAGCAGCTGCACTGCTCTGGGCTTTATCGCAGAGGAAAGCCATGGTGCAATGCAGTGTTGCTCAGAATGCTCAAGCCACAGGCAGGACCTGCAGCACTGGAGCAGGGTGTGGGCAGTGGGCAGCAGTCTCTCAGGAGCGACATGGTGAAGGCATCTGATTGCAATGCTTCGCTCTCAGCTTATTCCAATGTACCAAACTGTCCTGCCAGTCCAGAAATCCAAATTCTAGTGTTCTGCAGCACTTCAGGGCAGGGCACATCCCAAAGGGCTGAGGGAGCATGCAGCGTTCCAGTGGGCACAGCCCCCACCACGCACCCATCTCTTAAAGCCTGAGGATTTTTCAGCCACCTGAGAGCACCCAAGGTGCATCACAGGAGACTCAGCAGGCTCTGAGCGTGGCTGTTGCCATGAGACCACAATTCCCCCAGGCATTGTGGCTGCAGCCTCTGTGCAAGCAGAGTTGTACCACTACCAACTAAGACTCAGGTTGCAATGGCAGGAGAGAAAACACAGCATAGAGGCAGGCACTGGCTTCAGCTTTGTTCCTTGCAGAAACAAACCCAGACCCTCACATTCACCCTTCCTGCAGATGCTTTTGTGCCTCCACACTGCTCCTGCAGTCTAGCCCTCAGCCTGTGCTTCCCCCAGCAGCTTGAGTGCATTCAGCATCCTCCCTATCAACAAGCTTCATTTCTGTTTTCCTAATACAAAAGCCCAGTCTTCCTTTTGCCCGTTAGCTTTACAACACTTTCCATGCAGACACAGTATAACACCAGCCCTCCAACTCAGGCCACAGGCTTTTCAGTGAGAACAATCTGCTTGAAAGCATGGAGGAATATTTCTTCTCACAAACCACAGGGCATCTGAAAGGCAAACTCCAACCACCACTCCCACTCCTCTGTGTGTCAGAGAGGACTGAGGCAGGATCAATTTGAACAACTCCCTCTGAACAGCAGCTTTGACATTTGGCACTTTCTGTTGATTTATCGCTCTCTGTCCATCTGCCTTTTCAGGGCAGAGATTGTTTCTGCTCGTAGCACAGCGGGGGCCTGAGCCAGGTCAGGCAGTCGCAGCCCAACTGCACAAATACAACGACGTGTGTCAGAAACGACACTAATAGGGCTTCACCTTCCTTCCAGCTGTCTCCCGTGTGGCTCAGCAGTGTGGAGCAAGGGGCAGGGTGTGGGGAGATGTCCATCCCACAGAGAGATGCCCATACATTCTGTAAGGAGCTAACCAGGCAGGATCCCAATGCGGATACAGCACTGCCTTGATGAACTTGAGCCCAGCTGTGCTGCACCTATCCCCTATCGCCTCCTCCCTGAACACACATGCACACACACCCCTGGCTCTGACAGGAGCAACGCCTGCTTTATATGAGTTTTATATAGGCTGTTTGGGGCTTTCTCCTGCAAGCAAACCCGTAGGAACCTTGACAAAAGATTACAGCCTGCGTCCCTTTGTCATTTAATTTACTCAGCGGAGCTCAGCTGGAGTCCTTTACCCAATTTTACAGTTGGGCTGGCTGAGGAACAGAGGTCATGTTGCTGTGCCTGATGTTGGCGTGAGGAGCAGCTCGATCAGACCCCAGCAGTCTCCCATGCTAGGGAATAGCTGAGCAGACTGCCCTCCAGCTGCCAGATCCGCTCAGGAATGTGCTCAGTCCTGGGCTGCTGTGTGCTGGGACAAGACCACATAAATCTAAGAGACTGAGCTTGGAGAAAGCACGCTCTGGGAGGAAGAAAAAGGGGAAGGAGGTGAACTGAGACCTGCTAAGGATTGAAGCAGCACTGAGCACTTGGTCGTGAGCTGCTGTCAGGAGAGACACATGCAGCCCAGTGGCCCCTGCAAGATGCTGTATGCATGAGCACGATCCCAGCTTTGAGGTCAAGCTCTGCACAGCAGTCCCGAGAGCTGCCTGCAGGGCAGCTGCCACCTTTAAGCCCCACAGTGCAGCAGTGACAAACCTCAATACAGCCCCATGCCCAAAGAAGTACTGAAGCTGAACTTCCCCTCTGCACCCACAAAGGCTCAGGGTGCTTTCTGCAGCGCAGATAGAAAAACATGCTGGGAATTCAGGGCTGTTGGGACTCCCTCGTTCAGGTTACCCGACCACCTCCAAATCCTACAGAGCAGAAATCTGACACCCGAAGATCAAGGTGCAGCATTAGAGCCCCCTCACCCTCACCTCTGTGCCTGCACCAGCACGCTGCCAAGAGAGAGAAGATAAAGGTCCAAACCTGCGGAAGCCTTGCTGGTTCAAAGGACACCTGAAGCACATTTGTGACACACAAGCGAAAACAGTCTGCACTTTGCTACTAATGCCCTGTTTCAGATGAACAAACCTGCCTTTAAATCAGGTTTTCCTTTGGTAGAAAGCCAGTTGGAGCTATGATTCAGCAAGAGGATTTAGCTATTGGGTCCTGACTTGTGTCATAGGCTTTAAAAATACACTAATTATTCTCTGGGTCGCAAAGGGAGCTGGGGGAAGAAAAGAAAATGTGACTGTACAATTTCTGTTTCAGCTCAACTGCGTCATTTTTGGGATAAGGAAATCAGGCTGCACTCTGCAGAGCCGTGGCCAACAGAGCTTGGCATTTGCCAAGGGAGGCTCCAGTGGCCCCACGCCAGGCGGATCCACACATCCTCCTGTGCCCAGGGCTACATGTGGCTCTTTCACCTTTGGGAACATGACGTGAGCAGTGCAGAGCCGATAACACCGAAGCAAAGGGCAAAGCAGTGCTCACACAGACCCAAAGCAGTGACATTTTCCATCCCAAGGACGGGATTTTACAGATGCTGTAAATGCACTGAGAGGTCGACAGAAAACAATCAGCCCTACTGTGTATGGAGATGATACTGAAGCAGCATCAGTTGCCATTCAGTGGACAAAACCACTAACAAAGTACGGTGTAATACACCAACTAATTAAGTTAGGACTATAGATGTCTCAGCTATTGAGGGGTAAATCCCCTCCAGAACCCTCAGCTATTGGTGGGGTAAATCTCCACCGCTGCAACAACACAAGAGAGGAAAGCTGGGAGCTCTGTGCCATGGAGGTCACGAGCATAAAAAAGAATAAGAATGCAGCTGAGGGCAAACAGACACCCCCAACCATGAGGGCCTGGTCTCCACTAAGGTCAAAAGTCAGCCAGAAACACCTCCTGTCACTACTTTCAGCACACTGAACTTAAATGCAGGGCAGCATTCCACTTCAGGAGAGCACTTCCTGGTGGCAAAGTTCAACCCAAGCAGGCACACAAAGAGAAAGCGTCACATGGATCAACAAGATTTGCTAAAAGGCTTCGGAGCACAGCCAACTCCATATCACTGCCACTATGCACTCCTGCCTTGGAGGCCATGCAGTTTGCAGATGCAGATCACTTCTGACACGGATCTGCAAGTCTGCCAAATATCTGCTTTAATCCTTCGGTGTGATATCAGCGTTTTAGTTACCTGTCAAATATTACTCACTTCTGGCAAAAGGAACTGAGGGAGTAGGCTGACGCAGTCACCAAGCCACCCTTGGTAAGGTGAAGTTCCTGGTGACTGAAAGAAAAGCAACGTCACACCCGTTTTTAGGAAGGGTGGAAAGGATGAGGCAGGGAACTACTGAATTGTCAGCCTCACTTCTGAATTGGGGGAGATCATGGGGCAGATGCTCCTGGAAACAATGCTAAGGCACATGGAAGAGAGGGAGGAGATATGGAACAAGCAGCATAGCTTCACCAAGGGCAGGTCCTGCCTGATTGTAAAAATGACAATGTAACTGAGTCAGCAGACAAGGGAAGAGCCACTGATGTCATCTATCTGGACTCTGCCACAGTCCCCCATAAAATCCTTCTCTCCAACCTGGAAAGATATGGATTTGATGGGAGGACTGTTCAGCTGTACCCAGAGAGTGGTGGCCAATGGCTCAGTGTCCAGATGGAGACCAGTGATGTGTGGTGCCCCTTGGGGGTCAGAGCTGGGATCAGAGCTCCTTAACATCATCAGAGAGCTGGGCAGTGGGAGTGAGTGCACCCTTAGCAAGTTCAGAGATGATGAGATCAGCAGGGAACTCTCTGTGCAGTTTCTTATACTTCTTTATCAAATCCACTCATGTTTGTATAACCAAGAAGAACAATTTCTCACTAACAGATCCAATCAGCCAAGGCATCAAGTGCATCTGGTGCTAGGACTTTGGGAATGTCACTGTAAAATGCTTACCCAAAGCAATGAAAATGGTAATTAAAAAGACCTGAGTGCACCTGGAGGGAACACTGTGCACTGTATTCAAAGCGTGGTTTAAAAATGGAGAAGCAATGCTCTGCAGTGTGATCTGTACTTTGTGTGTGTGTACTTTCAGAAGGAGCCTGCTCTTCCATGCTGTATGCAACCCGAATTCACAGATTTCAAATACAAATGTTTGTTTTGAAGAGACACAGACTGCTGCACTCTCTGCTCCCAGCACAGCCAACGCCAGCACCCACCCAGCTAGCAGCACGTTACCCAGCGAGTTCCTCCCACCCTCTGTGCTTAACAGGACTTAAGGAAGGCCATGTTAACTGCCTCATGCAGACACAGAATCAAAGTTTGCCGAAGAGTTGGACAACAAAGCCCTGAGTGGGGCACGGAGCTCCTGCTGCATGCACGGGCAGTGAGCTCCAACGCAGGCTTTGCACAGCTGCCTGCAAAAAGCCTTCTACAAATTGCAGAGCACAGGCCTTTAGACATGGGCTTAATTCTTGACGACACGCTGAGCTCTCAAGCGCTGACAAACGGTGCTTGGCCAGCGGGGCAAACACAAGCTTGTCATTAGCCTGACTGGAGAGCTGAAGTTTTGTTCTGAATTCATTGATCTTAATCCTCAACACATCTGGATCCATTCCTACATTTCACTTACCTACTCTGCAGCTCAGCAAATACCTGCTTCATCTTCTTAATGGAAGCATCCATTTCCTCTTTCACCACGACCCGGTACCGAGCCAGTGAGACGGTGCAGCGCTGGAGATCCTTCACTGATTTTTCAATATTAGAACCTACCAAGAGACAGAGAGAACTTAAACAGCCATGTCAATCACACTGCTAAATCCTCCCAGCAGGGGAAATCAGGAGAACGCTTTCCCTCTTACTTTTAAACTATGTCCTGCTTGGTTTTAATACCTCCTTTCCCTCCCCCATTACAGAGACTCTTGGTTCAGCAGAAGTTCTGCAGGTTTTCCACTGAGGAAAGCTTTCCCAGAGCTTGAAGGATTTCATTCTGTGGGCAGGGACACCCCCTCTACAGTTTCAAATTCACAACAGTAACCAAATGCATCTGAGTTGCTTTGGGTTAGGGGCACAGCCACCGCCTCACCTCACTGAGCTAAGCATGATAACCACATTCACCACCGCTGTCTCAGGTCCTCCTGTCCCCTCTTGTTATTGTAAGAGAAGGCACATGAAAGAGAAAAAAACCACGGGTAACAGGAGGCTGTCACTTCTTGTAACAGGGCTGGTCCCAACTACTGTCCTCTTGACACATTCTCACAACAGATGAGAAAGAACCCAAAGGCTCTGCGAGGAAGCAGAGAAGAATGGGCTAAGCGTATGCAGCGAGGCTGCCTCCCGCCCTGCCTTCTCACACATACGGGTTTGCTGCTCCAGGCACTACATCTAAACTGCTGTCAAGATTCCTGCTGTGCACGGGGAAGAGGAGGAGCAGAGTGCAAGTTAGAGGCCAGATAATAAGAAGTGTGTTAGCTTGTATTAAAATCAACGTCCAGCCTGCCTCAGCGCTGTCCGTCAGCAATGCAGCGGATTAGGCGGTGAGAATTTGGCTGCTGGCAACCTGCTGTGACATCAGGGAGGGTGCAGACCCGGGGGCCTTACCCAGCTTCTTGTTTGCAGGTGAGAAGGGGACGTTGTCCAGGCGCACAGCAGGCGGGGAGGTGGGGGCTGTGGGTCTGGAGCCGGACCTGCTCGCGCTGTGCTGATCAGGACGCTGTCTGAGAGACGAAGGGCTCTGGGCAGGGTGCACGGTGAGAGATTTGGTGTCGAGGTCTGCTATTCCATTCTCTAGTTGAGGCACTGCCGGAGCAAAGCACAATTTGGTGTGAAGGGGAGGGGGGGAAACGACACACACAGAGGACGGCAGAATGCTCACCAGCCCTTTAGGACCACAAGCAGAAATCAAAGCTCGGGGTGAGCTGCCCTTTCCTGGAGGACCGTACAAACAAATCAGCTCTCAAAGCTGACCCCAGTCAAAGGAGGGAGACAAAAGGCAAGAGGCAGCTCCTCTGCTTTTTAAACACCCAGCGGGTGCCTCCTGCCGCTTCTTCTGGGGACTAACCTGTTCTCTCAGGCATGTCTGGCACCGAGGCCTCGCAATCCTCCAGCTCTCTGGCATCAATTGAAAGCGCATCCAGCCCTTCGCTGAGCGAGTCCACCGACTCTGTGTCATGGGCACAGCCGTTGACATGGAAACCGTTAATTCCCCCCTTCTCTGAGTTTGCTGACTGCTCCTCTTCAGTGGACACCAATTTCCTGGGGTCTGTGGGGCCAGGGTTCGCCTCGGCTTGCGGTTTCGGTTTGGTTTTCTTCTTCTTGTTCTGAGGATTAGGCATCCGAACCACAGAGAGAGAGAGAGAGAGAAAGAAATAAAAATAAAAACGTTAAGCTTTAATTCCTGAAGGGAAAATTAAGCTTGTGCTTACCACCTGAAAGTAGCTGAATTAAATGCCTTTTCAGCCAGCCCTGTTGTTGATCCTGTTAACAGCAGGAGGGATTCGTTCAACAATGAGGACAGATATAGAGGCATTAACGACGTGCAAACTCATTATCCCCTCCAACGGTGTGCCAGCGAGCCCAGGGCATGGGATGAGGGCTGTTGGAAGCAGTGGGGCTGTGGGGGGCTGCCCCACTCCCCTCGGGATGCTGCCCTAGACCTTGCTCTGACAGCAATTCCCTCGATCCCCAGCACACGGCTCTTCGGTCACATTTCTCTCCTCTCTATTTTATCCTGGTGCTTTTTAAGTATTCAAAGGAGTCCTTCTGAATAATTATGATTTTCTTCCTGTCCTGGTGGATTTGGACATTATAATATCAAGTTCTGAAACTTTGCAAATCTTCCTTTAACCGTTTCGCAGAGGTCTGAGCACAGAGCTGGGCAGGGAAGCCTACATGACACAGAAATATTTCCACAGAGCTCAGCATTAAATGCAACTGTTCAGCTCCAAAGGTTACCGATGAAAAATGGAACGGCACAACCATCTGAGCAGTGAATTACGGAGCTCTGCTGCAGCAAACGGACCTGAGAAAGATTTACTTCAGCGTGGGGCTGGGTGTGTGGATTAGGGGTCCTGCAGAGGGTCAGCAAAACAAAAGCTATTGCAAGGGCTGTAAGTCTAGAAGCTTTTTTCAGCCCAACACGATGTGTTTGACAATGAAACCGAGTGCAGATGTGATGTCTTCTGTTTGCAACAAAGGCCCCATGCAAATCCCTGCTCTTAGCAGCGAGGCACCTGAGAACACAGCAATCATCTCTGGCAGTCCGCTCTGCTGCCAGCAGTGTGCATGCACAGAATGGTGCAGGACATGTTTGCTCTTTGGCTTCTCATCTCATCAAAATTACCAGGAACGCAGAGAATGGCAGGCAGTCTTGATTTATGCTCTTCCTCATCCTCAAAGAAATAATAATAATAAAAAAGACAACTGCATTTGCGAGGTGTATTTAGAAGCATTACCTTTTTTTTGCCTGTGACAGTCCATTCCTTCAATACTTCACTGGCATTACCTGAAACAAAAAGCAGTGATGATCGGTGAGGGTGGCACACATGCAGTGCCAACAGCAAGAACCACCTTCTCTGAGGTCACAAAATCCATTCAGCACTTCAAAGTATTTCAAAACCCATCTGGGTTTCAAAGTACAAACAGCAGAAAAAATGAAGCTGAAGACATTCCCTGCTTTTGTACACGAGTGAGAGTTTCTATAATTGAGTATCTAAACCCCATTACCTAAAGAGTTATCAAGTCCTTATCTCTGCCTTAACCTCTATTTGGACAAACATCAACAAAGAGGTGGAAGAGAACAGTCTATGAGTTGTGGAGGGTATGTGTGGATGAGCTGAAAAGCTCCACAAGCTCCTTGCTACATGGGGTGTGTGCTGAACTCTGACCCTTTTGCAGGAGCTCCTGAAGGCCCACAAACACAGCAGGTACAAGTGACTAGAGGAGGGCCATTAAGATGATCAGAGGGCTGAGCACCTCTCCTATGAAGAATGGTTGAGGGAACGGGGTTTGTTTAGCTTGGAGAAGAGAAGGCTCCAGGGAGATCTCATTGTGGCCTTCCAGTACTTGAAGGGAGCTTATATATATAAACAGGAGGGGGAATGGCTGTTTACATGGGTGGATAGTGATAGGACAAGAAGGAATGTTTTTAAACTGAGATAGGGGTTAGATATTAGGAGAACGCTTTTTACTCAGAGGGTGGTGATGCACTGGAACAGGTTGCCCATGTGGATGCCCCATCCCTGGAGGCATTCAAGGCCAGGCTGGATGTGGCTCTGGGCAGCCTGGTCTGGTGGTTGATGACCCTGTGCATGGCAGGCAGGTTGAAACTACATGATCATTGTGGTCCTTTGCAACCCAGGCTGTTCTATGATTCTATGACCCTATGACAAAGCCCAGAAGCCCACTGCACTTACCTTCCATAAATGCTTGCACTGTTTTGTCCACGCAGTTGTCAAAATGCTGGAGCACGAGGACAATCTCATTGTTGCTCCTGTTTGGGACTATGGCACGCACTGCATTGATCTGGAGGGAAGAAAAGAGGCCAAGAGGTGATGCATTTGCTCTACCTCACATCGCAGCCCTGTGCAAGCAGTCCGAACACCTTAACCAATGCCTTCCTTATCAAACTTTCATATGCCAGGATGATTTAGCCTGAATAAAATTCTGCTTTTGAAAGAAGCGCAGTTAGCTCTCAGACAGAAGCATATTTAACCTCTGACAGCAGATAAAGACGCAGTATTAAAATGGCAAGCTGAAGTCCCACGAGATGCACTTACCTTCTCCTTCATGTTTTCAAAGGTTCCTCCTTGGGCCATCACAGTGTTGGACTGAACATCAAAAATGAACCCGGATGGATCTGTGAAGACAAAGGAGATGGGGAAATTCACTTTGGAACGTCCAGGTGCTGGGAGACATCTGGAGAGCATGGTCAACTCCAGTGGTCACAGTGCTTGCTGGGTAATTCTACCAAACAGAGGGCAATTAGCTGCTGAGAGCAAAGCACACAGTGCCCCAACCTTAATTAAAGGACAGGTTCTGTTCCTCCCGCCATGTTACAGGGAGCCAATGAAACTGCTTCAGCCACAGCTCTGCTTCTAGCCAACTGCAGACCAAACCACAAAGAAGCAAACTCAGCCCTAGCAGGGCTGATGTGACATAAACCATTACCAAAACAGGCCGGTTGCACCCTCACATTTCTGCATCAATCGCTCTGTGAGCCCAGCAACAAAGAGCAAACGATCTCCTCAGCACTGGAGCCTCTGAGCAGCACATTACCAACCTCCCCCGCCTGGAGATACAAGAAGGCAACCAGACTGATGAATGGCTTTGGAGACTGAGCAGCTCATGCTCCCCACCAGCTCCCAACTCCAGGGCAATGCTAATCTTCCAGATAGACTCAGAGCCAAGCCAGCCTCCAGCAACAGATTCACTCCCTGCCATCCCTGCCCTGGGATCACCTCACGTGCCAAAGGCCCAAGCATCTAAATTTGGGGTTTTGGGGAAGGAAATGCATCCAGCAGCCTGCTCTGGTGGGCCAACACCCCGAGCTGCTGATTCACGTCCCTTCCCTCACCTCCTCCAAATTACTCACACGCAGTTTTGAGACACACCATTGACTTCCGCGGTTCCCAGACATTGATGTAGCATTTAAACCGAGATGCCTCCAAACGCAGTGACAGAATTGTGAACATGATGGAAAGGTCAGGCTCTTATTTAGGCTACAGATGAACGCTTAAATTCTTCCCTCGCTCTGTCCTTCCCCATTTCAGCCCCATGAGCAAGATTGTCTCCTGTTTTTGAAGCTCACGCAAGTTTGAGCTCCCAACTTTCCGGCCCTTCATCTTGTAAATGGCTCTCAGATTCCCATCACCGAGTGAGAATCAGAGATCTTTTCTCAAAACCCTCACTGCAGAACAGCCACCGAGGACCCAGGTGCCAAGGAAGATGAAGCTCAGCTCCCCGCTGCAGCGCTCAATCTTACCCCTTCCTACAGCTGTGTCTGTGCTGGAGCTCACACAGATGGAGCTGCCAGCACCTCACTCCCACCACAGCTCCAGCTTCCAGCAGCTAAAATGTTGATCATGCAAAAATTATGCAATGGAGACTTCACTGTATTCATGTGATATTGCCCAGGAGTGCTCCCGAGCATCATTAGAAGGGCTGCTGGCACTCAGGTCTCTGGTGGTGGCGGGGATCTGCAGGAATGGATGGAATTCAAAATGCTCCATCCTCGTGGGCAGACGTCTGGCTGCTGCCACTGCCTTCAGGATTTGGGGAACGAACACCTTCGTGGGGCTGTGGCTGTGCATGGCAGAATGGAACGCTGTGTAATTTGGATGCTGTTGCATGAAAACACACAGCGCTGCCCTGCGGATGCGATGCATTAACTCCAGAACCACGGTCTTAATTGCTTCTGTGCTCATAACTGCAGCTCCCAGAAAAAGGAGGGGGCAAGGAATCGCTCATCCCAGATCATTTACTTCTGTGCTTTAGCACTGTTTAATAAATTGGTTCTCTTCAACAGAAGCACCAAAGCTGCCAGGAAGAATCTGCCCTGCCCAGCACCACACTGCCTGCTCACTTCAGTTTCCTTCTCCTGTAACTCCACTAATCAGACACTCCTACATGAAAGACGTGCAAAAACAGTCCAAGAAATATCCATTCTGCTTCCTGAGACACGAGAAACCCAGCAGCCTAGGACAGCCCTGCCCAATTTGGGAAGTCCTGACTCCTGTTTGCCACTGCAGGACTGAACACAGAAACAAATCATTTAGCTTACAAAACTAGGAGTGTATCGGTACCCACTGAGCAGAAATTAACACTGAGATACTAACCAGCACAGATCAAGGTCCCTGCAGGACTTTCCAGCATCCTCCCACTTTCCCTATGATCCATGAGCAGACACCACTACCACACATGCCTCCAAGCCCCTCTTTTCCCACAGAGCACATTAAGATGCACGAGGGGGTCCATCTGGCTCACAAACTGCACTCACTCCATCACCGCCTCCAATTCAGAGCTGGGGCTCAGTGCCTCCATCAGCTGCTGCAGAAACTATTTTAACATCCTGTGGTGTGGTCACTGTGCTGCAGAGTGAGCCCAAAGAGGTGGCAGCTGCACCTTGGGGTTTTGTCTAGACAAGAAATGCCAGGTTACTGCTGTTGTTGCAAATAGATACGAATGGCCCAAGCATTCATTACAGCCCTAAGTCCAAACCTGACCCCCAGAGAGGAGGGGGTCTCCTTCCCCGAGAGATCCAAGCCCCTCCTGGTGCTTTCTTATGCACCCTGCTTTAGCACAGGGTTGGACTGAGGGTCTGCACATGTCCTTTCCAACACTGACAGTCCTGGGATTCTCTCTCCCAGCCAAAGGCTGAGGAAGCAGCACTTACACAGAGCTGGGATTCTGCAGAACTTCCACTTGAGTGGCACACTGTTAAATGAAGGATAAGATTAAAACAGAACTTCCCCCACACCACGCCTGTGCAGGCTCCCTGTGATATTTCCCCTTCCCCAAGTACACACAGGGTAATTTTTCACCAATAACAATGCCTCCTTGATGTATACAGATAAGGAAGAGCCCAAGGGCTGCGCTGCATCCATGCCCAAATTGCATACCCACTTCCCAAATCTCACCAACACCCTCCTGAGCAGTTCAGATGCTCGCCTTGTTCCACAGCACTCCCATGCAACAGCAGCAGGTGGGCTCCTGATTTGCTTTCAGAACTGCTGCATTATTGAAAGCAGCTCTCTCACCTCTCAGCACTCCTCACCACTCCTTTGTTACACAGCAAAGCGGTTTTGTTTGGCTTCCAGAGAAATTGAGAAGACACTCCTTACCTGCGCAGGGCCTGCATGACATCTGCTGAGCACACCAGGGCTGCAGCCTGCAGCATCAAATGCTGACAGCCCTGGTGCCCTCTTGGCCTGAGAAACCCAGCAGTGCCAGCCCTGTAGGGTTCCCTGCTACCTGCTGCAGACCTCCCTCCATTCCCCACCATCCTGTTGCTTTTCTCCCCACGTATTCACTGACAACAATTGCTAGGCTCTATTTCTAGCAGCAGAAAGAAGACCATTTCCTAATGGCTTGTGTTGAGGCTTCCAAAAGCATGGATGCAGCATTTTAAAAATAATTCCAAAATTATCCTATACAGTAATTTCCATAAGTGCTGCTAATTGCTTCAAACCATGCATGGATCTGGATGTCAAAGGACAGCAGTGCTGCTCAGGTAGGCACCATTTCTGTGCCAGAGCTGTGAGAGGCAAAAATCTACCGAGAACAAAAGCACTTCTCTTGAGGCAGAGGACACGGATTGTCAAAGCATTCGCCTTAAATTATTAATTACTAGTCAGTGCAAATAAAAAGACAACCATAACCTTCATAACCCCTACCTCTCTCCCCTCCCCACACTTTAGAATTAATGTCTCACGTGAAGCAAACAAGGGCTCTTGCTGCACTAAGCTGCTTGCTGCAAGAACAGCTTTGTCTTTAACGTGAAACAGCAGAAAAGGGAGAACCTGCATGGGTGCTGCAGGGGTGTTGTGAACTACTAAAAATATTTCTTTTCTGCTGCTTTCTGACAGTGAAAATGGGGGCAGTATTAATATATGCAGCAAGTCAAGAATCAGACCTGTCCAGCTGGACAACTGAAATGCTGCTACAAATGTCACAAAACCCAACAGGTTATACAATGTCACCAAGATGGTGACAAGAAGCTGTCAAGCGTCACCAGCAGCCTGGAGAGGAGTACAGCAGAAGCAATTAACCCCTCTCCTAATTGATAACTTTGGAATCAATTGTGCTGTTTATTGACATTTGATTATAGCATATCCACATGCATCTTACCTTTTGGGTTTTGCTTTTTAGACATCTTGGTGCATTTGCTCTGATGTGCAGCTATACAAGAAGGAGGAGGGGGGAGAAAAATAAGTCGTAGCCCTTGAGCAGTGCAGCTGTGATTCACACACAGCCTCCAATCGAGGAGGGGAGTGGATGGTGTTTGGTCTGGGATGGCAAAATCACAGCAGAGAGGGCAAGCAGGGTCTGGAGCTGTCAGAATTCAGCTGACAGCCCCACAGAGCAGCACGGTTTCTTCCTGGGGAAAGCTGCTCCTTGTCACGCGGCTGCCGGTGTCAGTTGTCTCAGGTTCTAAATAACAATGGGGAAAAAGAAAGAAAGGAAGTCAGAAATTGCTGCCCAGCAAGCCCAAGGGGTACCCCACATCCCTCAGCTTGTCAGCGCATCTTACTGCTGTTTTTACAGAGTGAAATCTGTATTTTGCTAAAGGTGCTTTGGAATGGCTAGCAGAAAGCAAGGTAAAACATAAGGCAATGAGAGCCCCACGGCCTCACTGTGGATCCAAAAGGCTCAAGGCATTCTGTGATTTAAGCCTCACAACCAGGTGGGTTTACAGCCACCATAAAATTTTTGCTAATGAACGACGTGGATGGGGAGCAACAACGATCCGTGGTGTATCAGCAGCCAGCATCCCAGCAGCACACAGCAGGGACACTCGGTTCCTGTGCATGGATTTTCCTTACGCTTCTGGCTCCCCGGTGCAGGAGAAGGACAGTGCCAGGTTAAACAAAGAGCAACTGGACACGGCATGCAGAACAATGGGGATCCGGCCCGAGCAGCCAGGAGGAAAACGCACGACCTGCCAATGCCATCTATCAAATGCAGGCTAAAGGCAAAGCATTACGGAACCAGGAGGCTCAGTGCGTTCCTAGTGAAACCCACAGGCTTGAAAATGCACTGAGGAACACACAGTTCGTTTGCTCGAGGAATAATCAGCTCAGCTCCCACCCATCCCAACAAGGATTATCTGTAGGGGCATTCCCAGGACATGGTTTAGAAGCCCAAAGAATGCAGCAGCACTGCTGCAGTACGAGGAGCTGAAATCCCAAAAAGAGAGCAGGGAAGGATGGGGATAATTATTTGAAATGCATCCCAGGCTCCATTTCCAAGTGGAGGGGGACCTGGGCACCTTAAGGTCTGCACCCAAACCTTCTTGATAATTCCACGCCTTTAAATAAATGAACTTTTGGACAAGAAGGGAGCACAGGAAGGCACCAAACCTGGAGCAGCACGCAGAGCAGAAAGGCACCAAATAGAGCAAAAAGGCACCAAACCTGGAGCACCACACAGAGCACTTCAGGTGAACTCCCTCCAGCTGTCTCCAACTCAGCTCAGTAAAAGAATGGATATTTACATACAAAGAGTGACTGCTTACAAACAAATTCAGCAAGGAACATTTATAAGCTGTCTCTGCAGCCTCAAAAGCAAGCACCTGAGGGGACACCACTGTAAAAAAAAAAACTGCCTGAAAAGTTATTGGGAGATCTCCAAATATCTGAAGCAAGTGCATGTTATCACCCAGAAAATAGCTTCTCCCCACTTCAGAGGTAGAAAAATAGCAGTAATTAAAACACGTGAAGAGGAACAAGCAGAGCACCACAGCTTCCCAGCCACCCTTTGCCAAGCCTAGCTCTAAGCTGCCTGTGCACAAAGTGAAAAAGCAACAGAGTGGGGAATAAAATAACCACTGATGAGCATCTAATGGCAAACATTCCTCCAAAATCAGTACCAGCAACCCCTGGGGTGGGATCAAGCAGCTCAAATCCACATATCTACAGAAACAGCAAAGAGTCAACACAAAACAAGCAAGAAGGCAATCTGCAGCATTAAAATAAAATACTGAATGGGATGGAGGGGACACAAAATAACCTGCAGAACCTCAGTGCTGCAGACAGGGTGATGGAACCTTCCCTGATCTCAGCTTTCCCAAGCCACAACGGGAATGCACATTTTTGCTAAGCACAAACCAGCTCACTTTCAAATAAGGAAAAGTCATTCGCAGTTTTACAGACAGCACAGCAAGAAAGAAATGACTTCAGATCACCCCGCCCGTGGTGTTCTCTTTCCAGGCCATTCCTGCCCTGTCTAGACAGAGCATTTCAGTGAACTTTCCAAACTTGAGAGCTCCCTGTTTAAAGGGAAAGATGAACGGAGAGAAAAGCGCCCTGGGGATTTTTATTATTCTACCAAAGTTGCTTTTGCTAAGAAATGGGGAGTTCTGAGGGTGAAACCAGCCAATGCCCACTACGTTACAGCAGCCCAAGTCAAGCTCAGAGGTCTCAGCCCCCCCTCAGCCTTTCACTTTTCTGCCCCCACTCAGTGTGAGCTTTTCCTCAAACGTGGACCTTTCCCAGGCTCACTGGGTCCCCTTATCAGTGTGAGGAAGTAAAGCTCTGTCCTCCAGCTGACGAAACACTCCTGCAGCCACCCCCTGAGCCCACAGAACTCCCCACAGGAGTTCTCCTGCACTCAGTGAAGCCCCCATTGGTGGCTGCTGCAGAAAAGAAGGTCGGTTTTCTCCCCTCCCAGAGCATTTTCCACATTCAGTCTCCAAACACAGTGGTGGATTCCTGATGCTTCACACAGTGACACAACCTATGCCTCAAGGTGGGAACCCCCCTTCTGCTTCTCTCACAGCAGGACCCCTTGGCTTGAAGTGCTCCAAAAAACTCAGCAGGATGCAGGGGGACCAGAAAAAGCATTTGCCCCAGCAATAGTGTGCACCACTGCTGCTTTCGGGCTTCATTTGCTACCTTTCTGAGCAGAAGGGTCTCAGGGACTCGCCAAGAATTATGGCATAGATAAGAGTACAACCGTCCTTTAGATTGGGGTTGAGCTCTTAACCAAAGAATCTACAAAAACAAAACAAAAATACCCAACTTTTTGAGAAGAAGAAAAGAGAAAGGTGATGGGAAATAGAAAATGACACCTTCCCCTGCCCCGCTGCTGTGTGGTGAGGACTTCCTGCACCTCCCCAAGCTCCATACAGGGGAAGGCTGTTCTTGCCATCCCCTCTCAGCTCTCCCTTTGACCTCAGCCACAGCCCGAGGCAGCCATTAAAAAGAAGCTCTACATTTTAATTGCCGGAATAATGCAGCACCAACAAATCCTCCTGCAGTCACCTCGGAGCTCCTTCATCCGGGATCCAACCAGAACCATAAAACACTTAAATGCTCCTTTAAAGGAACGCTACCGGGAACTGCTGCTCCTGGGACGGCTCTTAGGAGCACACTGGGGCTAGAAAGCCCAAAAGGACAGAACTTCATGTGGTACCACAACAACCGAACGCTTCGGACAGCTAGAGCTGAGCACAACTCGCCTGCTGGCGGAGTTACAACCCCCCCTCCCCCCCCCACCACACACAAATCATTAACTGCTATCAGCCCTCATTAACGAGGTACAACAACGAAAGAGACAAACGCCAAAGCCCCAAACCCGGTTTGATGGGGAGGAGAAGCACTGACTCAGCCGTACCCGCAGCCTGGGCTCAGTTCTGCGGGCCCTTCGTGCTCGATGGAGCCTTCAGCCGCCCCCCCCCAGACCCCAAAGCCCCGGTGGGCCCATAACGCCCAGCCCCCCCCCGAGGCCTCACAGAACGGTTTCTCACAGCCCCCCCCTGCGCCGCGGCCTACGGGGGTCTCTCCTCTCCCCGTACTCCCTTCCAAATCAGCCCCCGGCGTCCCCCTCCCCACCACCGCATCCTTCAGGCCCTGCTACCTCCGGACCCCCCTCACCTCCAGGCCGCCGCCTCCCCCCGCCCCTCAGCTCACCTCAGGCCGCCGCGGATGCAGCGGAGAGGAGGCGGGGGCCGCGGCCCAGCCGGAGCCCTCAGCCTTCCGCTAGCCAATCGGTTCCGCGGACGCCGCGAGAAAACCAATAGCGTCGCGTTGTTCCCGGAGATCGCAGCCAATGAGAGAGAGGAGGAGGAGGAGGCGAGGCCCGCCTCCTTGCGTTTTCAGCCAGTCTGGAGCGAGGTGGGGGGCGGGGTGAGGGGTTCTGGCCAATGAGAGGGCAGAGCTGTGTTCTGTAACGTGCGCAGGCGCAGCTCGGAGAGGGGCGGGGTTAATCTCTGCCGAGGACCAATCGGGTGCGATACTGGAGAGGCCACGCCTCACCGCCCCCTAAGGGGCGGAGCAAGGCGGGGCAGCGGGGGCCGAACGTGGACGGAAACTGCCGAGAGCCACCGCCCTGTGACGGAAACACCCGAATCCTTTCCGGAAAGAGTCGAACGTGGGAAAGGCGGCGACTGAGCGCGGATGTAGGCGGGTTCGAGGCGCGGTTCCACCTGAACGATCGCGCTCGGACCGGGCTGGGTTGCTGGAAGCCTGGAGGCTCGGAGATGGACGGGAGGTCCTCAGGTGATGCTGCCCTCGGATCCGCGTGCATTGGTTTGCATGGTGCCCAACGCAGCGGTTTGCACAAGCCCCAGCGCAGCCAATTGCACAGATCCTCGTGCAACAACATGCATGGATCCCCGTGCAACGATTTGCACGAGCCCCCATCCGTTGGTCGCAACCATCCCCGTGCAACAGCTTACACGACACCTCGTGCATTGCTTTGCACGGGGCACATCCCCGGCCCCAGCACCGCATGGCGCTGAGCAAAGAAACAAAGAAAGCAAAGCAACCTCGTGTTACAAAGCCCAGGTTACAACCCCCCCATCAGTGCTCCTGCACCCTGCATGCCGGGCTCAGCCTCCTCCTGCTGCTGCCCTGCGGGGTCCTCCCAGCGCCTCGTAGGCTTCCTGCAGTTCAATGAAGCGTTGCTCGGCCTCTTCAACCCGCTGCCTGTTGTGGTCTGGATGCCAAACCTTCACCAGCTCCCGGTAGCTCCTCTGCACCTCCTCAATGCCAGAGCCGGGCTGGATGCCAAGAACCTGGAAGAGGCAAAAAAGGGATTCGATGGGATGAGGTAGCAGCCTCCCCCTACACCTCAAAACACTCCAAAATCAGCCATGTGCACCCCGTGCTACTCTCCTATAGGCTAAGGGCAAACAAACCCCATTCCTCCCAGTGTTTGCCTCCCAAACACCCCAAAATCAGCCACATGCAACCTATATATATGTATGCCCTCAACAGGCTAGGGGCAGCCAAACCCCATTGCCCCCAGCTTTTGCTCCTGTGAGAATGGAATGTTATTCCTGCATTAGATATTAAAAAGGGGGAATTGATCTGAAGAAGTAGAGCACAGTGTAGTTGTATTTTGTAACTTGTCCTTAGAAATAGCTGATGTGAAAAAGTAGAAATACCGTCTATGTTAGTAACATACTTTAGAAATATAGTTGCTGAACTGCGTGATTAATTCTTGCTTGCAAAACTGCAATAGTTTTTAAATGTTCCAAATAGTATAGGTATAGTATTATGGACTAGAAAGCATATTGTAGGGCTATTCTGTTTGGATAAGAGACCCTGGGCAAATGAAAAACAGACTTAACAAACGTCAAAGAAGCCAGGGCCTCTACGCAAGGCTGGATTGCCTTGGATAGGCAACCTTGGTAGGTTGAGATACAACAGGCAGGCATCAAGATACTTCCCCCTATCCTCCTTCCAAGCTTATCTCTGTGCAAGGACGAGCGGATGTGCAGAAACAATGACCAAGGGTTGAATGAGCAAGTGAGAACTTAACTAATTAGCGATGTGCTTAACGAGCAAAAATTGATGTTTATCCAGTATCTGTACGTTTAGTTGAGCGTCGGGAAGATTTTGATCCTAATGTACTCAGCCAGTGAGGAACCAGGGGAGAAAGAGATAAGCATCGAGTAATGGGGTATAAAAGATGCAGCGCTGTTTTCTGCGTGCTCTCCTCCTTGCAGGAGGCCCAACATTGCAATTGTGAATAAAACCTGCTTTATCAGAGATACCGTCCTGATCAATTATCAGGATATTTCCAACACCCCATCCAACCCCTCTACCCCATTCCTCCCCACGTCTCAATGCACCTCATACCTGATAAGCCCACAGCTGCCGCTCGGTGCATCCTCCAGGCCCAGCTTTGAGCCCCAGCATCCAAGCCAGGCTTTGGAGGGACCGCATGGGGATGGTCCCCACCCACCCCAAAGCCCCGGCGGTGCTGTGCAGCAGTCTGTACCCCACCGGGACGGCGAAGGCCATGTAGGCCATGCCCAGACAGAAGAGTCGGGCGCGGAGCCGCAACGGAGGCCCGACGGGATGCTGATAGCAACGGTGCCGCTGTGCCGCCATGCCTGCAGCCACACTGGAGGGCAGCACGGCCAGCAGCTGGGCTTGGAAGAGGAGGGAGGTGAGGAAGGCTGCTGTAAGGACGCGGTGTGCTTTGGTGCTCTGCTCGCCCACGGAGGCTGTCAGGAGCACGCCCAGCCCCACGGCCAGCGGCTGGGCCAGCAGTTGGGGCACCCAGGGCAGTGCCAACGCGGCCACCAGTCCAAAATATGTCCCCACGACCACCTGCCCCACCAGGAGTATGGGGCTCAGCGCTGGCACAGCCCTCCTGTGCTGCCTTCTAGTGCTGTTGGCCGTGGCCACCCAATGGTGGAGGTGCCAGAGGTCGCTGAGCCAGCCAGCACCGAAGCCTCCCAGTGTCAGCATCCAGAGCAGAGCGTGGCTATCCCGGCCCAGGTAGAGGTGGTGCAGCCCCAGTGGTCCCCCCAGAGCCCACAGCCCGTAGGCCACCAGTAGCCGCTTGGCCATGCTGGTTGGCGCACGGCTGAGCTGTGGCACTGGTGTGGCATCTGGCGTCCTGTGGGAGGGAAGGCATGGCTGGGGGCAGTGGGGCACAGCTGTGCCTCCTGTGACAGACCCCTCTGTGTCCCATGTGCTAACCCGGGACTGCATGCACCAGCCCACCTAGAGTTGCTCCATGCCCAACCCTTGAACCCCCGTGTCCATATGGATCCCACCACTCAGAGTCTTGTGTGCCCACCCAGGGCTTGGCCATCCCTATCCAGGTCCCATAGCCCCCACCCAGGACCCCCCATGCCCATCTGGAGGAACCACAAGACAACACAGAGCTATCTGGTGCCCACCCTGTGCAGTTTCAACGCTTGGCCATCCCTACCCAGGTCCAATATCCCCCCACCCAGAACCCCCTGTGTCCATCTGGAGGCACCACAAGACAACACAGAGCTATCTGATGCCCACCCTGTGCTGTTTCATGCCCACCCCA